CCACTAGTCTTTGCTTTATTTTCTGAAATTTCTTTTAATAAAGATTTCAGCTACAAGGGGATATAATCCTTATCCAACTGAGTTCAAATTCTGATACAGAGTAAAACGTTTCGTTTAGGAGAAAAGCCTTTGTGTTTTTAAAAGGTGCTGCGTTGTGTATATTGTCATATTTTCCGGTAGTAGATGAAGTAGTCTGCAATCTAAATAACAACCAGTCTTTTTGACACATTCGTGATTGTATTTTTTAACACTATTAGTTTCAATCTGCTACTAAACCAACGACCTTGCGACATTCAACAAACACACTAATTCTGACAGATCATCAATAAGTTTGAATGTAGAATTTTTACAGCAGAATTTTCTCAAACTATACCTGAATCTCGATAAATGCTCTGGGAGAAAGAGTTAAGTGTGTGGAAATCGCTGTTTAGAAAGAAAATGGCTCCAACTGCAGGTTAGTGGATGAACTGTAGAGGCTTGTGCGGAAAGTCTTCTCGACTCCTGCGGAGTATTAATATTTATCGTAGTAGAGTCACTACATTATCTAACGGCTATATTGTTTCTGCATATACATATTAGCCACTACTGATTTTAAAAATGTGCCTGTAGTATTATATGGTAAATCGATAAATAATCTCACAATTCTTTTTTGCATCCCTAGCATTCTGTCCCAATCCTGCACACTTTTCCACACTGCTAGTGTTCAATTGTCTAATATTTTTGCTGACTCTATAAGGCATTGAACCACAGAGATCGAGAAGAGACCTTTTACTTGTATTCATTACATTACAAAATGTAACACCCCTAAATTCGAAATTATTTTTCACGTACCAGAAAACTGATAATCTTATTTGTAAAATCTCGTGCAATTTGATAGCAGATATGTAACAATATCATCATAAAAAAAATCATGCGACAATACATATAGAAATTGCATAGTGTCTACCGGGCTTAACAGTTTAGTGCTGACCACATTAACTTTACCGAACTCGTATTTCCGTGATAGCTTCGTTAAACTAGTTTTATAATTTACGAGGCGTTAATGAATCTAGAGGTTTAATACATCGCATGCAGTTTTTGATAGTGCAGGCTATTTCCTGACCAGCGGGAAAGGGAATTGAATTTCGAAAACTATAGTCCCTAATAGAACAACGTGATATATATTTAATTCAGTCCTTGAGATAAGTTCTGTCAATTTTTCGGTAATATAATATTATAATATTATAATTTTATAATAATATAATTAATAATATGCACCTTTAAAGCAGGATAGATTATTCCAACTCAAAATGCTTCAATTTATGCTCTCTTAGGAATCATACATTTATACTTTATTTATAATTGGTGATAATATGTTCCTATTTATTGAGAGCAAATTATTACGTTTTAGCCTAACCACTCAATTTTACTAGTCTTCACCAAGATCTATATATCAATTTTCATCGCATAAACAAAACATCCTGTATAAAAGCTTTAGACATTTTTATATTCTACATTAAAAAATAGAAACTTCTAACCAAATTTAAGTTATCTATATCAGTTTCCATTTAATTAAACAGCTTTTTCGGTCAATCTTGTTCATTAATTTTTGGTCTATATATAGTCTGAAACACAGACGCACTGAGACGCCCCACATAATGGTCATCGTCATTATAACAGATATGCCATTAACAATTTATCAATTTTGTTTAAATTTCATTGTTACAATTGTAGTTTTTAAGGACTCAAATTCCATAAAATCCTATTAGTGATTTTCTTTTAAAGCTGATGAATTTTTGTCATAGACCATCTAAAATCTTTCTGTACCTATTTTCAATGCTTCTAAATACCATAGTGGATTCATTCAAAATAGATAGTCAAGCATAAGTGCAGTTCCACGCGAACTGTATCCTTCATTTATCGGATTTAGATAATTATTTTTTAACTGAAACATTTTGTTAATTAAAGATAGTTTCCCCCGTGATTAATTTTCCTTTTATTAATATCAGAAAGCTACCAGAGCAATGCGCATGTGGGATCAGTGTAAAATTGGCTTTTATAGTCATGACGTAATATTAAAAAAAATGTTTTTCAATATCCGTAGGACGTATTGGTAATTATTCGATTTGAAACTCCTTTTCCGTTAGATTAGAGTACACACGGCAACGCTGCACTGTATAGGAAAGTCATTATTAATGATACACTGTCCCTATGTTACAAATTGTAAATAATCTTCTTCACCATACATAACTTTCAAAATAAAAAGTTGTAAGTTTTTTTGTTATGTAATTCTGACTTTAATCAATAGTCTCAAAACATAACCTTATGACGTTACTGTTGATATTTTCTCTTTCGTGTCGTTATAGGAGGGTTTAGGTAAAGATATTAAGTTATTGCAATCAATTTCTAGAACTGTATTAGAGTTATCTGAAATTGAGGAAGAAGTATTATCTGTGAATGCTGTAAAGAAACCATTGGACTATTCCGTGTTGGTAAAAAGTACCGGATTGCTGTAATATCTCCAAAAATTCCCCAGCTGGAACAATAAAATTCAATAACTGGGAGTTTTTGAACATCACGAAAAAAAAATACTGACAGCAATGTTGTCCGATGATATTTATAATTCTAGCAAGATTTTCCTTATACACTTCTAAAGTTTCCGATATTCAAAAACCTCCATAATTCTGAGGTTAAGTAAATGTTAAATCGAACAATATCGGAGTCAGCATTTTTCAATTCTGGATGTTCAAAAACTCAAAAAGTGATTGAATGTTTTAAAGTTCCAGCTACGGCATTTTTGGAGATATTTAAGCGTTCCGGTACTTTTTACTGAAAAAGCGGCATTGCTGTAGCTCTGTAATTAATCAAAACAACATTTTTAAGTTATGTCAACTTACCAAATTCCCCATGAGCAATTCAATGCAATAAACATAAATATTGCGTTCTAATTAAAATAAAAAAAATATGATGTGTGACGTAAAAGTGTTAAATCTATGAAAACGAGAATCTTTATCGTGCTTATAAAAATAAAGGCATTCCGTTGTTGCTATCTAGATTTAAAACACTCAGGCGTCAAATCAACACTGAAACAGTGAAATCATATAGGAAGTACTCAAGCAATATCGAATTGAATATACGAGATGATCTCCCAAAATTTTGTCATACATTGCTTCCCACTTACTCACATATTCAATACCATTATCAAATCGTGTTTCCTGATTTGTGGAAGATTGCCAAAGTTATTCCTGTTTTTAAAAGATATGACGCCAGTGTAATCGAAAATGATTCGCTCATATCAATTCCTTGCAATTTTTCTAAACTCTTTGAAATTATCTTTGTAACTGTACTTATTCTAGTCTTAAGAATAATATTAGTGTTGAACAACAAGGTTTTGTCTTAAATAAGCAATCTGGCAATGTTGACTCAATATTTATTTCAATCAATTGATGTTTTAGGTCAGACGGATGTAGCATATATGGATATTCAAAAAGCATTTGATCAAATAGGTCATTATATTTTACTATCGAAACTTCACAATCTAGGCACATCGTTGTCGTTACAAAACTTGCTATTAGAACGTAGACGTCTATTTCAATACGAGGGGTTTAGCTCCTTAGTATTTTATCCCACGTCGGGAGTACCACAAGGGTCAAATTTAGGATCTCGTCCTTTTACCGTCTTTATTGATGATCCAGTTGAATTGTAACAAATCGCTTCAGGATAACGTTAATGTCATATCAGCATTGTGTCTGATTAATTGATTAGGTTTAAATGTTTCTAAGTGTAACGTGCTTACAAATTTATTTAATTACGTAATAAAAGGGACTGTATTGAATCGGTTAAGTGAAGACTTACTTTTATACCTCGTATTTAGCAATTAGTATTATCGGCATCAAGAGCGTTGGGTTTTGTAATATGAAGTTGCCGACACTTCAAAAATACCCCAACTATCAGAACTCTCTACTATTCTTACGTCAGATCTAAATTAGAATATGGGTTTCGCGTCATATGTCATGTCATGTCATAGCTTAAGTTGATCCAAAAACGGTTCCTTAAATGCTTAGATAATATATACCCCATAGAGGATTTGACCATCAGGTATTATTAGGCTGGTTAGGAGGGACATTAATAATTTAAAATTTCTGTATGTGTGGCTTTTAAACAAAGTAAAATTTTGTGTCCCCAGAATTGAAACCAGATATAGGCCTACAATTCATCTCCCTACACCTAGCAATTTTGTGGCATTTGTGACATTAATGCGCATACACGTCGTGAGAGTGTTGACTGTTTTTTGCTTCATGCGCAAAGCTTAAAACTGCTTACAGTTCGTGTGTGAGTAATTAGCTTCCTTAGAGTACTTGTGCGAGTAATTGTACTGTACTCTATTTCGTATGGTATTTTTATTATTTTTCTCTTATTTATATCTGTTCTGTAATTTTGTGTAAATCTCCTGAAATAAATTTGCTTATTAAATCTGACAATACTGCCGTTAACATTTTTTAATTCTGCAGGTTCCAAAACTTTTGGAGTTTTAGAGATATTTAAGCGTTCCGGTACTTTTTACTAACCCAGTATACTGTCAAATTGGTTGACAAAAGAAAGAATCGAATCTTGCTAAAATTTGTAACATATTTGAGGTAAAATTTTAGACCAATCTAAATGCTCACAATATAATGAATTAAGACTCTTATTATGATCGACACAATTGAACCCCTGTTGGGATTCCAAAAGATCCCAGTAGGGCACTCCTCCATACTGATCAAGTTTAGCAACCTTTCATAAAAAAATTGTATCGCAGATATTGTACTTTAACCATTTCTAAATCCACGCTGACAAGATTTTACTATTTTTTAAATGATTAATTAGTCGATTTAATAACTTTTCGAGATAATGGATGGCGCCGTAATTGGTCTGTATTTTTTGGCATTGGATTCGCTTGGGTTTTTAAAATAAGTATCAACTTATTGTGGACGTGCAAATGCTAAAACCTTTAGCTAATTATGAATTTCTTAATCTTCCAGGATTGCCACGGCGTGCCCAAAAGTCAAGGAAGCGCTCCGGTCAAGGACGTAATTGACAATTATACTTTGATGAGAGGCGTCCAGAACAATACCCATACGGTTCTCGAATTCAGAAGAGCCCTGGATACTTGCGATCCAAACGATTATATATTGTCGGTAAGTAACGTCATCTTCCCCATCTAATACACGGTCCAGTTAGTCCTATGCAATCGGAAACAATAAAAACCCTTTTCGGATTACAGAAAGTTTCATCATTTCCGATATAAAGTGTTTCTTGAAGCGTATAGACGACGCACCGAATCTCTTCATACGTGCCAATCAAGGAGATAGAAATGAATTCCTAAATGGAAAAGTCTGCAACAGACTTTCGAAACGTGCACCCATTTGTGATTGAAATGTCTGTTCTGATAAAGTCCGCGTATTTTATCCGCAGATTATCATGTGCTGAATATTTTTATCAAACGTAAATATTGATAGAAGAGAAGTGGATACAGCGAAAAACTACTAATTTTGTAATAAAAAAGTAACAGTTATTAAATCCCTAATTTCCTAAGAATTGATAAACATAAATTTAGATACCATAAATATGAAAAATGATTCATTGATCCTTAAGCAGCAAATTTAAATAATAAACATTGTAGACTCAATAATTAAAAAATCACAATTAGAATGGCCTTTACAAATATGAAATAGAACTTTGTAAGGTAGGATCTTAGCATGGAACTTGGCAGAAAGACAACTACGAAAGTTGGGCACTTGATCCAACCATGGAATAGAAATTTTTCCCGTTGGAAACATGTTGCGCATATGACTGATAACAAGAATAACTAGTATCGAAGTACTTAGTTGCATTCATAAATTGATATATATGTCATATAAAATTATGTAAAAGGTATAAAACACTGAGGCACTTTATAGACAGAAAAGTTCAGGGTAACCTTTAGAGAAGCAGTTTCGAAAATTAAATTGGTCAATTAGGGAAGAGAGAAAAAAGCAATATGGTTTATTTGTTGTGAATGAACAATCAACTGTTTTTTTGTTTTGGAAAATTCGAAACCATAAAATGTTGGGAAAAATGGGTTCGAATAGTGGTAAAATGGACAAGCGTCAACAATTTGAGAAGGTTGCAATTTAACCGTTCCCCGGTCTTGGTTGCTTAACTACACTGATACCTTAATTACAGTGATATATAAAACTTTGAAATTTCACCCCAGAAATATTTATTTTAATCACACGTCAGAGACATAGAGGCAAGGTTATATCCTGTGTCCTAGTTTCAGGGGTACGATCTCTTCTAAGGTGATATCAAAGTATAGCCCAAATTCAAGATTATCAAATAAACAATTTGATATTAGAATAAGTAAGGGCCTATAATATTTACTTTTCGAAATAACTTTCATATTATTCAGGATGTGCTAGAAGTTCAAATTAATTATCTGCAGTTAATGACGGCAGTTTCGGCAACACAACATTAATTAAGGTAATCCATCACTTTTTATGACAGAGAAAAATACCAACTAATAATAATGAATTATGAATGAATTATGCCTGTAGTTTTTTTTTGTAACAACACCACCAGTTAAACTTTTAATAAGATTAAGAAAAAATTGGAATACCATATTGCCTTTAAACATGTTATCAAAAATTGGTTCGACCTAGTCAACGTCCAAAATCTATATCCTAGCATTCCACCGATTGACGTTATAAAAATAATAAACAACATTCTCACAGAAACAAGTCATAAAACAAGACTTTTTTGAATTTATTTTTTTATATATATTTTAATTACTTTAAATTTAATGGTCAATTGTATATTGCTAAAGAAAAATTAATTATGGGAAAGCCACTTAGTCCAGTACTTGCAGAAGTTTTCATGGACAATTTAGAAAATATCACGCACGAACTTCCTCTAACTCTTCAGCTTTTCTGGACTTAAATATAACTAAATTATGGAACAAATTCGATTTTTCCATTTTCCATAAACCCTCACACACATTGTCGCACACACAAAATGGCTGCGTTTTATTACTTTATCTACAGACTACTTAATATACCACTTTCCACAGAAAATTTTAAAAAAGAATTAAATATTATAAAACAATTAGCATTTAACAATGGTTACGACCTCTTTTGATAGATAAGATTATATATAAAGAAGAGTATCAAATGACTCGGAAATCTATCCATCCCATATTAAACACCGAACCCAAAATTTATAACCTAAACTAACCAAAACTAAATTACAGAACAAATTAGATTTTTCCATTTTCCATAAACCCTCACACACACACAGCAATACATAATAACGCAACTTCCAACATGAAATTTTAGAAAAGAATTAAATGTTATAAAACAAATAGCTTTTAACAATGGTTACGACCCCTCTTTGATATATAAGATTATAACTAAAAAATAGTTGCAAATAACTCCATCCCATATTAAACATCGAACCCAAAATTGATAAAACAACAAAATACACAGAAGTGCCTAACAAGAAAGTTTTGAAACATCTATTCAAATTTGGTCTCAGGATTGCTTTTAAAACTGAAAACATAATAATTTAATAAAAAAAAAAACAATAAAACTAAATCACGAAAAACTCATAAATCCGAAGTCTACAAGTTCAAAATGTGGATCATGTCCCAGAACTTCTATGAAACAAACTGGTAGAACATGTTATTCATCTAAATTCAAATTTTCATCTTTTACATAATGAACCAAAAAACCGAAAACTAAATTTGTTGGAAGCTATGAATATTAACCAAATGAGATATTCTAATCTATTACTCAATGGCCAATTGAATTTAAACCGGTCTCCATTATTATATTTAAATTTATGTGTCGGCTTGATCAAGTAGTGTATTACCATTAGTGTGTGTCCAGCCTCTGATGTTTCTCAGCCACGATTTCTTGTTTCTGCCTATACTTCCTTTACCCTCAATTTTGCCTTCCAAGATTAGCTGCAAAGGTGGCAAGTTTTTCTAATTTTAATGAGACCATTGAAAGGCGGTCGAGTATTCACTCTTGTTACAGCTTCTTCATTGGTTGTCCTAGAAATCCATCTGATTCGAAGAATTCTTCTGTACATTCAAAGTTCAAGTACGTTAAGTTTTTTCATGTTTATTGTTTTAGTGTCCATGTTTCGCATGCGTACAGAAACAAATGTCATGTGTAGAATTTAGCGTTCTCGGTCGAATTGGCGCGGACAGTTTGAGTTGAAATAACAAGTTACGCATGTTCAGGAATCCGACTTCTGCGATCTCAATTATTCTTTTAATCCTTTTTGAGTGTTTATCGCTAAACCTCATCTAACACTATCTTTCGTCAGTCTGTTCATCAATATTTGTTATTGGTTATTGGGCCTTTGCGCCTTCTAGTCGGTCTGGCAAGGATGATCTAATGATGGATTCTGCGTATATGTTAAACAACGAAGGAAATAAAAGATAGTCTTGGCGAACTCCTCTCTCTAAATTGTTGTAGATGGTGTTACCCTTTTCCATTCGAACATAACCTTGGAGGTTCCAGTCAATATTCTGGATGATCGTAGTATCCCGTTTATCCAACCCTATCTCATGTAAAGTGTTCATTAATTTTTGGTGTTCAATACTGTCAAACGCTTTCTTATAGCCTTCTTATGGGCCTCCAGGTACCTTTCGGCGATTATCGATAGAGCTAGGATAGCTTCCCTCTTCTGAAGCCGTATTGAGAGCTGCTTAAGTATTCTTCACATTTATTTTGAATACGATTAAAAATAATCCTCATGAAGATTTTTGCATCGTGGCGCATTAGACATATAGTTATATGATCTTCGCACTTGCGAGTTTTGTTGTCATTCATTCTCGCTAAATAGCTTGTCTAGATATCTTTCCCAAATTTGTTGCTGCTTATCCGGGTCCAGTTCGATATAGTTTTTCTCGTTGGCCACTAGTTGTTTGGGCTGTCGCTGGCTAGTAATGTCTTTGACATTTTGATAGAAATCCGTATCTCTATGCTCTTGTTGCAGTTTTTCTACTTCAACTATCAGCTTTCTTCTTCTTCTTCTCGTTCCTTCTCCTAACGGAGGTTGGATATTATCATGGCTATCTCGTTAACAGCTGCTCTGAATAGTTGGTTTAATGTCATTCCAAATCATTTCCTTAAGTTTTTAAGTCAAGAGGTTCTTCTTCTCCTTTGACTACTTCTGCCCTTGATCTTTCCTTCCATAATGTTCTGTAGCATCGCATATTTAGGTCCTCTGATCATGTGACCAAAGTATACCAATTTGCTTCTTTTTAGAGAGTTAATTATTTCCCCCAGTTTCTGGGTTCTCTGTAGCAGTTCCAGATTGGAAACCCTGTCAGTCCATGAGATTTTCCACATTCGCCGATAACACATCCTTCAAAAGCCCCGATCTTTCATATCTGCCTTATTCAATGTCCATGCGTCTGGCCCGTAAAGTAATGTTGAAAAAACGTAACATCGAAGCATTTTTATTCTTAACCCGAAATTTACATCTCTGCTGCAAAAAAACTTTTTGATCTTTACAAATGCACTTCTGGCTACCTCTATGCGACTTTTGATTTCAAGAGACTGAAGAGTAAGAGTTCCGTTAACATTTTTCTTAAGGTTCTTAGCTTTACAAATACAGAAATAGATGTAGGTATATGTATAACGTAGGTAAAAATATGTAGGAAATTTAATTAGAATCTTCTAATCACGACATACGTTTTCAATTGTTACAGAGCGACACCGTAAGGGTCATATGGGCCCTTCACGACAGAGACCCGCAGTATGACACCACAATGATTTACCACGAGGAGAAAAGGGGGGTTCAAAGTTTGCACCTGTTAGGACCGCCGCCGGTCCCAAAACCCACGAACCTCCATTTGAGAAACTGGGATGTAGAATTAAAGAACGTAAGCGCAAAGCGTAAATCTCAATCGACATCAAACGTCGAAATTTCTAACGAGACGTGGGGAATTTTTCACGCCGATATGAGCCAAAATCGAACAGCTACAGTCGTTTGTCTATAGAATTTTAAGGAGCGCATTTGAAATTTAAATAAAGCTAGCCTCTCGTAGTGGATTCTTCCACTGTCGGCTTCTCGGAAAAGTTGCTTTTGTGGCTTTCGTATTGAATAAAAGAATAAGTAATATTGCACAATTACAATTTCCTCCAATACGTTTTGAATACAAAAAGAGAATATATACGGATGAGTTTCGGATTGAATGAATACTACCTCCAAGTAATCTAACAAGTTCTTGGTAAACAAATTTTCACATCTTTTTAGTGGAATCGTAGGAGTAACGTTTAAAACGTCATGGTTAGAGGGTCCGTTAAGTGCAATAAAAGTTGTGAACTTAGATACACAGGGTACAGAAACAACCAAAATTCAATTACTAGAGACAAATTAACAAATATCTTCCGAAAACCCGGTTCTTTTTTTTCTATTCTATTTTACCTTTTTCGCGTAAATTAAACTTATCCCATAGTTTCTTATTAAACTATCCCACATGCTCCTCTAAAATGTTATTTGTCATCAGAACTTTCCATATATGAGCGTTATGGCGACAATGAAACATCAGGGACAGTTTATGAAAAATAAAATATAGGTTTCAGTAAACCATTTCGAGATGAGTGTTCCTGTGGCCAGATTTATCGTGAACATATAAATGAAATAAATGTGAACTAAAAAGATGTCTTAGAAAACAAACAATTACAGAAATAACTGAACAAAATGAAAGCACTATTAAAATGGAAGTAAAAGTTTTGCTTTTGGTTAATGGCCGTATCAACTGATCAACTTGATTTAAGACAACATGTGTTACAAAGAACCAGTTAACTGACATAAGAGTTCAGTCAACTCACAGGTTTTTGGTTTGTAAGAAATACTTATTATAATTTTTGCATTTGCAAATATTTACATTTCTGTACAAATAAATTAATCTCTTTTTTTAATTTATTTTGATCCAATTTGCGTAATATCCAACAATGAAATATTAGAATTAAAAAGGAAACAATGAATTTATTCAACATTTTCTGGAAATGATCCTTTTCGACTTGGACAGGAGATCTGTCAATTTTTACATTCTTTATACAAAACTATTGCTAGTTGTTTTCGAGGATAAAACAACTGATAATCAGTAATTTTTTATTTTCAATTCAAAATCTCTTTAAATGGTTCGAGATTTAAGAAAACAGATTGCATTTTCCTATTTCTGCTTTTAATGGAATTAAAAGAATTAAACCTCTTGTTCAAGAAACTTTAATGAAAACGGATATAATAAATAGATTTATTAATCTCATTAAAAATTAAATATCAATTACAAAAGTAGCTCGCTTTTAAAAACTAATTTAAGAATCTAAAAATGTAAAAAAATCAGGACATTTATTTTTTTAGTGCAATATTAGAGATAGTGGTAAAATGTAAACTTGCAATGGCAGGGATCATTAAACAGGATGAACAATTTAGTTAGTTATGCATACAATAGAATGACTAGTATGTAGTTCATTCGAATAATGAATACAATAATTATTTTTCACGATTATAGTGATAAATATGGTAGATAACAGCGATATTGTATTCTATCACCTATGTTTCTATGCTGAGTAACTAAAAACTGATGTAAAGGATAATAACAAAATAGAAAATAATTGTTTTCCTGCCATGTGTCACCAACGCTATATAGATCTTTATATCTTTCTCTAATAAAAGTGACTTTCTGTGTTGAGTTTTTACGTTTAAGTTTACCACAATTTCCTCTTACCCATAGGCAAAAATTCTTTTGCCATAGCAACTAATGTCTAGAGAAATGACAAAAAAATAGCTCAAAAACCTGTTTAAGAATTACATGTAAATAAAAATATTTATTTCAATTTTGTGGCAACATTTTTAATTTAAAAATGTTCTAGCGATAGTGATAGAGGGCGCTTAGGTTCGTAATCAGTTTAATTTGAAATAAATCCTTTGGTCCAGATAGTTGTAATAGGCTCGAGTATCCCGATGCATATGGTTTATCGAAGATCTTTGATAACCTGGATCACATCCTCCGTATTTCAAGTTGAAGCTAACAGTATTCATGTATGCGAGACGCGCCACTAGCCCGACGCCAACGGAATTATCATTTCCTCGCATATTAATAACGATAGAGCCTGTATGTGATAATTACATAGTCTCGTTTTGGTATATACGCGTAATTAAACTTTGTGCCCATCTCTAATTCGCAGCGTATCCCTGTGTATGTGTGTGTAGCAGATTAGTTACTCAGATTTTTATAGAGACATAAAACTGCTTTAGAAACAGCTATTCATTTTAACTTTCTTTTTTAATTCCCTCATGGAGAATACAATGTGTTTGTATGCAACGAATATCGCCGAGGTAAGAGAAATGATTTTTTAAAATCAAAGAAATCTCTCTAATGTGATAATAACATCATCAGTATTTACACATTTAATTAGTAAATGTTTTCGTGATCCGTGCTTTCATTGCTTTCTCCAGATTGACATAATCAAGCCCATGTACAAAAAAGTAGAAAACACTAAAATAGCAAACTATCGTCCCATCTCTGCAATACTTTAGATTCGAAACAGTCTAGTCCGTATTTTTCGATTTTCTATTTCTCCAATGCGTTTGATACGGTCTCTCACTGTAGACTTTTGTATAAAATGAGATGTTATGACTTTTGACAATTCTTCTGTAGTCAAGTAATTTCGCCACCAGAACTCAGCACGGGGTTTAAGCGTTGGGGTTGGTTAAGGCGTACCGCTGGGTAGTGTACTTGGACCGCTGTTATTATCTATCTATATACCCCATTTAATGAGGAAAAATTTCTGTGGACAAATAATAAATTATGTGGATGGTTCCTACAATAGTCTTATAAGGCAAATATCTGCAAAAATAAAGAAAAATTTCGTGATGTTTGTTTTGTGGTTTTGGGATACTTTTTCGCGTTTTAGATACCTGCAAAGTTTTTTAACCTTTTCACAACTTAAAAACTTATGCGTTTTAATAAATTAAGTTGCGGAGGGTTGGATACTTGAGAAATAAAAATATTTAAGATAACTTTGCGCTTCTGGTTAATGTGCATATCTATTGATCTAGTAAACGTCTTTGTTTTCTTTGGACATTTAAACCGTTTAAATTATAGTGTATTTTGTTAATTCTGACTTCCAAAAAATTATTTCACTTTTTAACTTTTTAAACTCCACTCACAAGCATTTATACATATATGCTTGTGTTGATGTTTTAATTGTTTATTATTGGTTTCTACTTTGTGAAAAAAGTATAAATATAAATTATGGACCAATTTCATTTTAGCAAACGGGCTTGGCATTGTTTTTTTTTTGAAATTTAAATTTTAAACTAAAATTTTATTTACATTTAAAATTAATAAAGGAGAGTGCCATATTATCATTAAGATATTATGTTCTGTTATTGTTGTTGAAGGAGGAGCTAAATTGGAAACTTTTCAAGAGAAACCGTGCTTTCTAAAAGAGATGGATGGTATAAATTTTTATAAAAAACGTAATGGCCGTTTGGAATTAGAGTCTTTTCCAAAAACGTAATAGTTTTGTAGTAAAGTGTGCAATTTTTTTTTCGAAAAAGCAAAAAACTATTTTTTAATGATTCAAAACTTACACGGTGTCTCATATAACAAATATTTTTTTATAACTGTTAGACTTAAGTTGTTTACCGTGTTAAATGATCCAGAGCATAAGCTATTTGCTTTTAACATATTACACCATTCAATTCTACTTAAAAGATGCTTTCGAATTATTTTCATGGAAATACAAAATTTCTCTAAGCAAAACAGTTTTTTAATGATGCAGATTTTCAAACAACACACTATATAGCTATGAAACAGTAACAGATATCCATGTGTAGTTTTTACCATTATATTTTCTTTTATTAAGATTGTATTGATCCACCCTGTATATACGTTCTTTTTCTATTGGATTCTGCACATTCCTTTGTTGTTGGTAAATTGTTATTTGTTTAATATTAGGTTACTTAACTTGACAATTTTAATAGCAAAAACATTTGTAAAAGCTATGAAAAGAGACGAGTTATAATATGCTCAGAAAATTTACAAGAGTTTATGTTTTCTTATATAATTTTGTTAGACTAGGTCAAGAAAAAGTAAACATTGCATGTTGGCGGATTGATGTGGTAGAATTTTAATTTGCTATTCATTTAATTAAAATTGCAGTTTAAAATTCCAAGCAACATGGACACGGTGTACTGGTGCAAAGTTTTCAAAACCCCAACATTTAACGAGAAACATCATATCACGGGCTTCGAGCCCATAATCGGTAAAAACCACGAATCGATGGTTCATCACATGATCATGCACGAGTGTGAACTCGACGACTACACGAATTTCCATCTGTGGGACGGTTTTGCGAAACAAGATGGGCAACTCTGTTATAGCAACATGCCGGTCGAATGGGAGAAGTGTCTGACTCCACTAGTCGCTTGGGCAATTGGTTCCAAAGGTAAAATCTTCTCCTCAAAACGATCGAATCCTCTACTCGATTTTTTTTTCAAGGTGAATTTTTTCCTAATCACGTGGGGCTGCCACTCGCCAAAAATAAAAACTCGTACTACATGCTGGAAGTGCATTTCGACAATCCGTCGATGAAAACAGCAACCGATACGTCAGGAATAAGGTTGCATTACACCAATCGATTGAGAGAGAACGAAGGGGGGATTTTAATAACCGGAGTGGCACCTTCAACTCTTCACTTCATTCCACCATTCCAGAAAGAGTACAAGACTGCTGGATACTGCAGTATCGGATGCACCAAAGAGGTGATGGTAAAAATAATTTTATCCCCGTATTATTTGACGATTTCATTATAGGTGTTTCCCAAAGATGGCATCAACGTCGTATCGGTGATGCTGCATTCGCATTTAGCTGGGAGAAAGTTGAAACTACGTCATCTCAGAGCTGGAAAAGAATTGCCTCCTTTAGCCCAGGTGACAACCTCATTCCAATCCAACTAATATATTTTGGCAGCTTAAGGTTCTATTATAAACCAACGCAAGTTTTATAATATTGCATTCAAAACATTTCCGTTACTTTATTTGTAACATGTTTGAGGTTGGTTGCTTCCCGTTTAGTAAAGAGGCTTTTTAACGTTCTTAAATGCCTCATTATAAAACTTTTACTTATTGGGTTTTATGGCTTACTCCATAAAAACCCTTATCAATCTTAAAGCACCTAATACCTAATAAATAATCTGCAGTTTATATAGAACCTAAAGAATGTTATAAAACTTTTTCATGTAGATAGAGGCCGCTATGTTAGGGTATGATGTATAATCAGTGTTTTCTTAAAGATGTAACATGTTAATAAAAATTGGCAAGAAGATAATTATACGAACCCTAACAACTAATTGTTGTTATTTGAAATAGATTTTTTTTTGCCTTTTCGATTGAAAAATGAAATCACGCACTTATTTTTATACCAAAAAGTGCTATCGTAATGAACTATTTTTTTATTTCACATAAATTGCATAACAAAATATCAAAAACATACCGAATTTGGTGACAAATAAATATTCGGACGCATTTAAATCTTTTACTTTGAATCGAACATTAATAAGAAGCAACATCACCTTTCGCGGCAATAACAGCTTTTATGCGTTTTGGCATGGAATCTACCAAAGTCTTCCAATATTCGGGGGTGAAAGTGTTCCAAATTTCGGAGATTTTTGCCTTTAATTCTGGAACTGTACGCTGAGGATTGTTACGCAAAGTCTTTTTCATCCGATGCCATAAAGTTTCAATAATATTCAAGTCGGGGCTACTTGATGGCAACGACAAAACTTTCATATTATGGCCCCCAAACCACTTTTTTGTTGTTTTCGCAGTATAGCAGGACTCAACGTCTTGTTGAAATATACAATTTCCATTTCCAAAAGTTCGTTCTATTGATGGAATCAAACTTCTTGATAAAATTTGTTGGTATTTTTCTGCATTTACAGTATCATCAATGAACTCGTAGTTGCCTACGCCTTTACCACTCATACACCCCCATATCAAAACACCCTAGGGATCGCCTACACACACATCAAATTTTGATTCGTCGTTGAAGATAACGTTATTCCACGTTTTCGTTGTCCAGGATATTTTAGATTTTGCCCAATCCAAACGTTTTTTCTCCTGAATAGGCGATACAACATTCCCTGGAGACATTTAAGTTTGCCTCGTGATTCCATTGGGCTTGAGTTTGTCGTAAGACACTTCGTCTGCTAGTTTTACAAATTTTGACCAGAATACGCTACCACTCCCCATACTTTTTTATATCCCCGACTGTTGATTTTGAAATTTTTTGCATTGATTTACCTCTGCAGTACTGAGATATCATAATTTCTCGCACTTTTTTGTTTGTTGCAACACCACGCGTCATTTTCTTATCAACTATTATACAAACTTGATAGATACAACCCGAACTGACTATCTAAGCAGACTACATGCAAAAAAAAAATGAAATAGATATAAAAATGTCTTTTTTTATCATTTTTTACATCGTCCGAACATTTAGTTGTTAGGGTTCGTAGTATCAGCTTTTATAGAAAGTACACTAAAGCCCGTAGACCTGAATTTGGGTCTCAGATCAACTTGTTTATATTTTTTTCATTTTTTTCAAAAATCAATTTAAATTAAGCGGATTGTTTCGGGGCAAAATGTTGCAAATATTGAAAAAGGCTCTTATTTGCTTGTCTATTATTTTCTCCACAATCTTAGTATTATGTCATAAACGTTACTTTTTCTACGACTGTTAGTTTTTGCATAAATCTCTGCAAAACAACACGAAAACGAAAACGAAAATTCTAGCCTTGCGATAATATCTCCAAATCCATTTTATTGGTTCCAAACCCGGGCGGTAATATCTCTGAAATCTCTGAAGTGAGAAACGAAACTGAGGTGGTAAAATGACACTTTTCACACGCTAGATCGGTGTATAAATAGATATTTTATAGAAGGGAGTAGAAAAAGTGATACTTCTTCTTCTTCTTCTACTCTTCACGGTTTAGACTTATAGTCTGTTCCGGCTTCATACATCCCTCCAGCGTCGGCGGGGTCGGCCTACACTTCTTCTGCCTATTGGCTGGTAGTTTGTTATTATTTTCGGGATTCTGTCATCAGGCATTCTATCTACATGTTGTTTCCAGTTGCGTCTATATTCTTTTATTTTATCTGTCATTGCAAATATTTGTAATTCGTTTCTGATATCTTCATTTCTAAATCTATCTAGTCGTGTGCAACCTTTCACCCCTCTTAAAAATTTCATTTCGGCCGCTTGTATTCTGCTATATTCTGCTTTTGTTGGTACCCAGCTTTCGCAACCGTATAGGAGTACTGGAGTTGCCATAATTTTGTAGAATTTTATTCTGGTGTCTTTCCTTGTTTTATTCTTTAATGTTCTTTGGATTGTTCCACATATATATTCAAATTTACGTAGTTTTTGAGAGATATCATTATCTCTGTCATATCCTACTTCGCAACCAAGGTACTGGAACTGAGACACCTGTTCCAATGGTTGATTGTCTAGAACAATCTTTGTTCTTACAGAGTACATACCTTCAAAGGCCATAACTTTCGTCTTTTCCTTCGAAATTGTCATATTGTATTCCTTACACAGTAGATTCAGTTTATGTATAGAGCTTTGGAGATCATTTTCATTGTTTTGTATCAGTATGAGGTCGTCTGCGAATAGAAGGGAATAGTCGTTCTGGTCGATCTTAATTCCCTTCTTTGTTTGTCTTTTCCATTCTCTCAAGATATGGTCAATGTAGATATTAAAAAGAGAAGGTGACAGACTGCATCCTTGTTTTAAGCCTTGGTTTGTCTTTATGGGTTTGGATTCGCCACTGTTTAATTTTAGAGTTATTTGGGTGTTTTCGTACAAGGTTTTTATTGTTCGCACCAGATGTATGGGGTATCCTCGGAGGCGCATAATTTTCCACAAAAGATTCCTGTCCACCCTGTCAAATGCCTTCTCAAAATCTATGAAGGCGATGTGTGTTTGAATATTGTATTCGCGGTGTTTTTCTATGATTTGTCTCACAGTAAAGACATTGTCAGTGCAAGATCTTCCTTTCCTAAACCCATTTTGATCTTCTAATAGAATGGCGTCTGAGATTGCTTTTATTCTGTTGTTGATAATTTTAGAGTATATTTTATATATAGAGTTCATGAGACTTATACCTCGGTAGTTGTTGCAATCGTTTCTCTTCCCTTTTTTGAATATTGATATGACTTGGGTGTCTTGCCATTCTTTAGGTATTTGGCACTCTCGCCAGCATTCATTAAACAGGTGCAATAATCTTAGATTTAATATCGGTCCTCCATATTTCAAGAGTTCCATGTTGATGTTGTCTGGACCCGCCGCCTTTCTATTTTCCATCTTTTTCATTACCTCATGAAGTTCTTCGATGTCTATTCTATCGCCCACATAAATATCGTCGTTTTCTGTTTCTTCTGGTGTTACTGCATCTGGGTTATACCATAGAGATTCGTAATGTTTAGTCCATTCTTGTTCGTCAATTATATTTAAGCTTGCCTGATCTTTTGTAGTTTTATTGAGTTGTCTAATTACCTTATAAGCAAATGCTTGTTGTCCATGCATATCGTTTTCCACGTTGCTGATGAATTTATCCCAAGACTGTTGTTGTATTTGTTTCCTTAATCTGTTGACAGTGTTACGAGCTAGGTTATATTGCCCTTTACTCTCATCTGTTTTTGTTTGTAGATATTTCAATATTTCTACAATATCTACAAAAAGTGATACTAATTATATTAGTTATACTTCGTCAATTAAACAAAATTTAACCTCTTAATCAATTTCATCAATAAAGTTATTTTTATCAAAGCTGGGAAATTCTGAGTTAGGCAAGGTATTAGAAGCAGTGGAGTTTATAAACAATTATTAACAGCGTGTTGCATTACTAAGACAATTAGGGAAAGTTTTCTTTCTATAGCACTAAGGTCGCGTCACTATCTTATTTTAATGTCAGTCTCCCTTTACTGCTACCACAACAGCGATGAGTTGCGTCTTCATATCTGATGAAATATTCCATCTCTTAATTAAGAAATATTCTGCCTCTCTTTCTATCTCTCTTGTTTTTTGTAAATGTTTGTAACTTTGATTGCCTACATTTTTTATATCCGGTTCAAGCCGCTTGCTGTATTTGCTCCGTTAACTTGTCATTACAACTTTGAAGGTGTCTAGTCAAATCAAGGGCTGAACAGTATCGGAGGCACATTTACATGTGTATATAAATTTTCTAAGTACAGGGTTATACCAATAATGGTATTAATAATTATTATTATTATAATAATAAAAAGGTCAAGGAATAAGGCAGGGTTTTTTGATTAGTGTTTATAATCACTGTAGTCATGTTTTCCCTCGTTTAAGAAGGTATTCCTTGTCTTTATATAACTTGTGTAACAGGTGTAATTTTATATGGGATTAAAATTTGATCACCGTTACCTTCATTAGAGTCTCCATTTAAGTGGTGTATGGGTTTTACAAGAGTAACGAAAATTGATGGGTTTTTACTTTTATAAAATAGGTAAATGTTACCGTTAAAACACAAAAAATGTTAGTTTTGAAATCTTCGAATTTACGAATTTGTCTAATTTTAGGATGAACACTACGACTTCAACTATCAGCAATCGCGAGCGTTATCACAAGATACCAACATCCTTCCCGGGGACGGACTAATCACCGAGTGCAGCTATTCGACTCAAACTAGAAACAAACCAACGCTGGGGGGTTATTCCACCAGGGAAGAAATGTGCCTCGCCTTCGTCTTGCACTACCCTCGTACCGAGTTGGCGGGCTGTTACTCCATCCCTCCTGTGCGATATTTTTTCGAAAACCTGGGGGTCAAGGAGTTTTATGGGAAAAATATGTCCGTGATAGAGCAAGCGTTGCTCGAAGGAAAGTAAGTTTCGACGAGGGAAAAAAAATGCGAAAGGGACCAAAAAAACTTCCGTTTCAGAATGGAATCGGAAAACCTACCGTCGACTACTCCGAAACCGTTCGAAACGAGACCCGGAGATGAGATGTCGCCCGAAGCAAACATGAGAGCGATCATGGCCTTGCGAAATGCCAAAGAATACAGCATAGACGGGGACACTGCCGATCAAAACCTCTTCGACAAGTTGGTAATCAAAGACCCGGAAGAGTTCCGAAACAAAACCTTCACGGCCCACCTTCAGAGCATTCCCTACAACGAAACGGTCCTCACGAAGAAAATGGAAGAATATTTTTACAACGGTCTGCATTTGACGTTTTGCCGGAAAAGGGATGATACCCTGGCCATAGTAAGTTTTTTTTTATTTACAGGAGCTCCCCATTATAAGCATAAATATTAATGTTATAAATATATGAAAAATTAATACTTTTCCTAGAAAAAAAAATATACGAAGTACGTTCAAAAAGTACGGTGACTTTTCAGTTTCAAAAAGTATTTATTTATTGATTTAACTTCCATTTTAGTTTCCATGGAAATTTTCTTGTTCAATGCATGGTACACCCAATTCGCCATTTCTATTCTATTATTTAATTCTGTTTACTGCCTTCCTGTTTATTTCAACATAATTCCCAATCCCGTTTTTTGTTAGTATTTGGTCCCAATTGTTTAGATTTGCTTGCAAATCCCTCGGAGTCCTTGCTATGACCATTACATCATCTGCGAAGATGCATTCCGATACGGTTTTGATCTCTGTTCTGTCATTCTAAATAAAATGTCTCTATTAGTTATAAATAGTAAAGGAATCGAGATATATCTCGCTCCTTGCTGTAGTTTTTCCAGATTTTTTCCCATTTCTTCTTTTCTATGGGTAGAGTAAAATCAACCTTTTTCATTCCAGACATTTTGTTGTTCAAGATCGTAAGTAAAACGCTTGTATTATTCTGCTGCCAGCACTCTTCATCCTCATTTGTTGCAGTTTCTTTTCTTCTTGTATTTCTGTTCGTGCACAAGTCGGTATATTCTTAACTTCTAACATATTCGAACGCATTTTAACTTCGCCAACAACTGTCGAAAAGTAACTGTTTTGAACTATAAACTACAGGTACGTGAACTACCTGTCCATTAACTTGCCACTCTCGGGACTCTTGACTCTGATTTATAATAAACCAAACGAATACATCTAAAACCAGTAAATTTTCTTACTGACGCGATAAACGATTAAAGATAAGGTTTTAATAATGAAACACAGGCAAACAGAAAACAAACTCAGAACTTTACGGAATCTCCCCATTATAAGCATAAACATTAGTGTTATAAAGATATGAAAAATTAATACTTTTTCTAGAAAAAAAAAATACACGAGGTGGGTTCAAAAAGTACGGTGACTTTTCAGTTTTATCAAAAAGTATTTATTAATTTATTCACCTGTGCCAACTTTTTTCCAATCCTCGAAGCACTTTCTGCTATAGGCTTGAGTTCTTCCAGCGATGTTTTCTTTATCTCCTCAATCGTTCCAAATCTCCTTCTTTTCACGCGTTTCTTAAATTTTGGGAACAGGAAAAAGTCGCAGGGTGTCATATCCGGTGAATCTGGCATCTGAAGCCTAATTTTGGTTTTGTTTTTGGCCAAAGCGTTAGATACAAGCAACGATGAATGAGCAGGTACATTATCGTGATGCAAAATCCATGAATTGTTTTCCCACAATTCCGGAATGGCACACAAATTCAAGGTAATACTCTTTATTGCTCGTACGACCTTGTGGTGAGAACTCTTGATGTACTAGGTCACGATATCAAAGAAAAGAGTAAGTAAGAAACCTTGACATTTGATCGGACTTGACTTGCTTTTCAATTGGCACTGGGCTTTGGTTTCGACGTCATAACCATATACCCATGATTTGTTACCAGTTATGACCTTTTTGATCAACATTGACGTCGCTTAACAGCTCTTGAGCGATGCTCCTTCGACGGTCCTTTTGTTCAAAATTAAGCAATTTCGGAACAAATTTTGCTGTTACACGTTTCATACCCAAAACTTCGGAAAAATTGAATGGCACTTCTCTAATAGTGATTCGACGATTTTTTAACCCCATTTGTTTCGATTATTCAACCATTTAATCAGTCATTTACGTGCTGGGGCGTTCAGAGCGTCATCGGCGTCTTCTCGGCCATCTTGGAACAGCTTGTACCACTTATAAACATTTTTTTTGCTCAAAGTAGATTAACCATATGCTGTTGTTAACATTTCAGGTGTTTTACAGGCAGCACTGTATTCAATTTTTTATACAAAATTTTATGCAAATTCTTTGTTCCATTTTTTTTTGACAGCAGAAAATCGCCGAGCAAACAAAACACATCCAACAGTTCTGTCTCACAAAAAAAAGTAAACGTGCGAACTGGGTGAAGCTGTGCCCATTGTTAGGGACATGTATACCAACATAACAATTACAAAAGTCACCTTACTTTTTGAACACACCTCGTAAATATCTAGATACATGATATAAAAACAACAATAAGTGTAGTCTATTGTTAACAATGTTTTTCAACTGGGTTAAATTTAAGTAAAAATGATTTGTATCAAAGTGCTCATTTAAAAATTGCAAAGCGTATAATTGGAACAATAATTTGTATAATGAAATTTGACAAGATTCAATGCTTCTCAACCTACTTTGTAGTATGTTTCAACAATTCAACTGATTCAACAATTTTACAATGAATACTAAGTCGAACTGAATTCTTTTCAGATTTAACGTTTCCAATATTACTGTTTTGTTTGCAACTGCTATTCCCAATTTGAAATTACAATACCTCAAAAACTTTTTCCGAATCTTGTCAATAGAATGAATGTATAAATCATAAACAGGTGACCAAATTAGTGTTGCATATCCAATTTGAGTTCGAACAAGAGGACAGTCATTAATGTTGTGATGTTAATTGAGAATTCATTACAATTTCCTTAAGATGAAATCTTAAATTATGCAATTATACAATGCAATTATTTCCAATCTAATCATCCAATACTATAGCCGATCACGTGACTTACACGTCCGTTTCTAGTCCATTAACACATTCCTTATCAACCGATAACTACTCAGTTAAACAATATCCAATTTGAAGTCTGCAATCTATTGAAACTGAAAACATTTAACCATATTCTAAATGCCTGCTTCCCTTATTTATCTGCTGCCAGCTGGGATCTCCTGTAACTTGTAACCGCATCAAAAACATTTTTCTCTTAGATACGCTCATTTCCTGAGAAAAATACATTTTTTTAAACGCCAAAAAATTACAAGGTTCGCGCATGTTTTTACCATTTTCAAATCATTGACCACAAGTACACAATAATATACAGGATGGAAAAAAAATGCGCTAACTCTCGCTGAGATTATTATATATAGTATTTTTGTGATTATTATTTTTTTTGACCCTTTGGTCCCTATAAACTGTGACGGATGTTAGCACCATCATTTTTTTAAATATTGAACAAGCTGAGGGAGATTTTGTAACTATCTACTTGACTTGACTTGACTTGACTTATAATTTATAACATTTTTCAACATTGTCTTCTTGCGCACAAAGAATAGATAAGAAAGCGTTTTCCAAAAAATTTCTCCTAAACCAAACCCTTTCTCATTCCTATAATTTATTGGTTCTACTGTCAAATAACCACAGTAACATTAATTACATGCTTGCTTCGTTCATTGCAGAAAGAAAACATCGAAAAGCTTCCGATATTCGAAGCATACGATCCAAAAGCTAGTATTTTATGCAGCAACAAAACCAAGAGGGCTTCTAATGGATCGCGTGTTAAGCCGGGGATTTTGTTAATTGTAATAGTAGGACTTGGGATAACCCGATAAGATGAAAGGCACTCTGGAGGCCTTTGCGATTTCGCTTTAGCAGGTGAAGAAAAAACAAACTGTGCACGGTGACGTTTTGTTATATTAGTTTGCCAATGGGCAAAATGTTTTGAATGATTGCGTCCAAATGAAAGCTGCTCCCCTTTAATTTAAGTAAAAATGACAATCAAAAGACGCTTTGAGGAAATCATATATGTATGCCCGTTTTGACTGTTATTAGAGGTTTTTCAAAAAATATGACTAAATAATATCCCAAAGTATCATTTGATAGGTCCTCTTTAAAGAAAATTCATAAAAAATAAATAAAATAGCTAAAAGAACTGACCAATTGGCTTTTATCATTGGACAAAACAATAACACACCATTTTCATTTCAATTATATTGTTGTCAAGATGTTGTTCAATGTGTTTTCTTAATAATTAGTTTTTTATCACGCCTACGTCTATTTGTCTATAACAAACTATTGGAAGGCAATTTTAAGCAGCCTACACCGATTATTGTTAAATTGAAAAATCGATTATAATAGCCTAAACCAGTATACGAAACTTTCTGCTATGAAATATGCCAATGCGCATGTATTCCACCATTTTTAACAAATGTCATTGTGTTTTGGTAAAATTTTCAAATAATTTTAAGTAGTCGAGAACAGCGAATGTAAGACTGTAGATTAGGCTCCTTTGTTTGATAGTTTTCCTCCCATAAAGTACTTACAATAATTATGTATATAATTGCATTTGCTAATAAGATGAGCGTGTTTGAATATGAACGAATGAATACCCTACGATATTCTGTTTTATTATTATGATTTTCGCATTTATTATTTATTTTTGTGTTTTTTACTAATTTATTTTTTTGTTTGATTTTGTTGTAAATTTATTCCAAACCCTGTATATAGTACTGGATGAACTACCAAATATATTTTACTTTTATTTATAATTCATAAAACTTGATGCTGTGAATTGTTTTATATAATGTAGTGACTAGCATATAATATACTTATTTTTAGTACACGTGAGTAGCAATTAGGTAATGCTGAAAAGGGTAACTCTACATTTTACGACTGAATACCTTTTTGATGAAATAATTTTAACGCCAGAAATAATCATTGTATTCAATGACGATAGATAAAATGGTCTACATCTACCTGAAACACACGAATCGAGCGAATTTTAGCGCGTCATTTGCCAGTAATATTTAAGAATATTGCCGGTAGACAAGGAAATTGGGGCACCTGTAGATAATTTATCTAAAATAAAATCTTTTCTTCAAGCATGTTTTATTATTTATTTTTACCATAGTTTAGTTTAAAACTGTAAACGTTATAAAGAAAAACTAATGGATTATTGAAACTTTAACTCTTTGTTAATTTAACATGGAAACTATTTCCTTAAAATCGGTTTATGGATTTTGCACAAGGTATTAAATAAGGCCTACAGGACGAGTTGCTCTTGATAAAATTAAAATCAACACTTTAGGGCTTACATCTTCCAACATGGATACTGATTGTTAGAATTGTAGAGGGAGATTATTCTTCAAGAGCAAGACCTACAACACTTCAAATTTTCACTAAATTAGGGTCACACTAATGTGCATACAATAGAAGAAGAGTTTAATTAATGAAAGTAATGGCACAGCGGCGTTACTACAGGTAGATTAATAAAATATCAAAAATATAAATAATTATATATAATTATTATTAGAGAGATGTAAGTCAATTAGCAAAATCCCTACCATTTGCAATGCTTCTTTATAAATTTTATCCGTCATATTACGTGTAGCCAGATGAACAATAGTCGTCGGAGTCCAGAGCATAATAAGCACTACAGTGTTTTCGAGCATGTTATCAGCTCCCACATTCATTCTTCTTCACATTTTATTTAGGCCTAAATGTTTAGCTTCTAACAATGTTCTGCTCCTCTTTTTCAAGATCTTTTCCAGAGTGCTGTCCTATGTTTCTATACTTTTTTTTTTTACTTAACCAAACTCTTGTTACCGGCACACTAATAAAAAGTTGTTTCTTCTCTTTGAAATTTTTCATGGATTCCATATCTATCTCTTCTCTTATATGCATATTTCTAAATTTATCCCCTTTAGTAACCCATTTTAGTATTCTCATGCATTTCTGCTTCTCTAATTTTACTTTTGTCTCTATCTGACAATAACCACGATTCGCAGCAATATGTAAGAATTGGTATATCAATAAATTGATTTTTAAACTTCCATCTTAGTTACCATGGTAGTTTCCTTGCTCTTGCTCAATGCATGGTATACCTAATTCGCCGTTTCTATTCTATTATTTAATTCTGTTTACTGCCTTCCTGTTTATTGCAACATAATTCCCAATTCCGTTTTTTGTTAGTATTTGGTCCTCATTGTTTAGATTTGCTCGCAAATCCCTCGGAGTCCCTGCTGTGACCATGTTCTGTCATTCTAATTAAAACGTCTATATTTGCTACAAATAGTAAAGGAATCGAGGACTAAATCGCTACTTGTAATTTTTCCAGATTTTTTTTCCCTTTTTTCTTACCCATGGGTAAGTAAAACGCGTGTATTATGCTACTGCTAGCACTCTTTTCATCCTCATTTATTGCAGTTTCTGTTCTTCTTGTATTTTTGTTCGTGCACAAGTCGGTATATTCGTAACTCCTAGCATATTCGAACGCATTTTAACTTTGCCAACAACGGGCGAAAAGTAACTGTTTTGAAAAATAAACTACAATTTGCATCACATTTACTTGCCACTCTCAGGACTCTTGAATCATTATTATACTAAGTCAATCGAATACGTCTAAAATTACCAAGTTTTACAGTTGCAAAACGATTCATTAGAAACCCAGCATAGGTGATGCTATAAACGATTAAAGAAAAGGTTTTAATATTGAAACACAGGCAAATAGAAAACACTTAGAAATAATATTGAAATTTTTTTCTGAACTGATATAAAACTAAAAAAAAAGAAATAAGCAAATAGAAAAAAAATGTTAAAACAAATAATCGGGAAGGAAAATGTACCTTTTAAAAGCAAAAGAGAACGCTGTGCCTACTGTTGTATTGTCTTAACTCGTAAACTGTCCAAATTATCTCCTTTACTCACAAATAAGCTTATCGCATCGAAAACAATCGAGTTATTTTCGCCGCATTATCAGAAATATCCACAAAAACAAATTTGACGAACCTTACTTGGTGCAGACGTGTAACAAACACATCGAACAAAATTACCGTCGACTTCGGGGCCCGTTAAGTTGGTTTTTATTTTCCGCCGTTAAAATGGCCTTAAAATGGGGAGTAGCAGGTGCCGGCAGGATTTCTCATGACTTCGTAACGGCGGTACAAACATTCCCGGAAACGGATCACAAATTTTTCGCTGTCGCCGGTAGAAATAAAGAGAACGTTGAGAAATTTGCTAAAGAACACAACATTCCAAAACCGTACTATGATTATCTTCATCTAGCCGAAGATACGGATGTTGGTATGTAGATTTTGGGCACTTTTGCTCAGTTATTTCTAAAAACAGAGAGTCACGGTTTACGCGATACTGTGCTGCTTTTTTATGAAATTAAAGATGCCGTCAACCAAATTATCATGGCCGTCTTGGTTTTTTAGATACAAAGTGAAATCTCCGTTTTCTTATGAGTTATTGAAAAATTTCATTTAACGTTTATATAGCATTTTTATCGCAGATCCCAGTGGCGTAGTTTGCTTTTGACATACTCTAATTATTTTTTAGCTATGAAACAAACATATATTTCTTAAAATGGAACGTCCCATATATTATTTTTTGCGTTCATTGCAAATTATTTAAGTTTTTAAAAAAATCATATTCGCATAAGTTGTCTTTAAAAACAAAAAATTAAGTTGAAAATTCTTTTTTTTTTTTCATTTTTAACTTTGTAGCCTACTGCTGCATATATAGTAAATCAACTAAATCAGTTAAAAATACATCTAAGCAGTTATTACAATAAAAGAGACTTTTAACTTAATTTCGAAAAAACAGGATGAAAATATATATTTTTTTAAATAACAATGTCTTATTAATATGATAAATACCATCATGTTAAGTAGATAGTTCGATAGACCTCATCTATTAGAAACAAAAAAGCAAATGTGTGTGAAAAACGAAAATGTCATTTTTTTAATTATATTTTCATATTACCACAGGTAAAGTTTTTAAGGATATAATCAGTATAATTTTATATTATACAAATGTGTTTTGTTTATACCAGATATCCAGAGACACCCCTACCGTTTCCAGATATATTTGCGCGTCTGAATATAAATCTAGTTAGTTAGTTATTCAACCACGCCCTAAAAATCATTTGAATCAGAATAGGTAGCAAAGAGAAACAAATGCATTAGATTACATAGAAGCAACGCCGTGATCATCTTGTAAACACATCGACTGCCCAGAGAAGTTTAAAAAATTACAAATACCACCCATACAAGTTAAAGAATGTTCAACATTTGCTTCATGGTGGTACCGAGCGTCGTCTTTTGGGAGACTTGAAATATGGTCCGACGAATGTAACTTTTCAAGGTCGGGATTTTTTTATCGCCACAACACGAGGAACTGGTCGACAGAAAACCACCATTTAATTTTTGAAAGGCCCTACAAGGAGGCTTTGAGGTTGGGTTATGATGAATTTGCAAAGGAGGCCTTACAGCACGTAGATATTCTTGAGCAAGTCATTCCAGAATTACTCGAAGATATTCTCTTCGTTTATTATAATGATTAAGACCATTTTTAAATGACAACTCGGCAACACACCTGTAAGATGGCCTCCACGATTTCCGGATTTTTCAGTTTTCGAGTTCTTTTTATGGGGATATATATGCAAAATACAGTATATAAATCATGATACCAGTCTGTAGTAGCACTCCGAGGGGCTATTAATTTAACTTTCGAAACTCTACGAAGAAAACCAATAAATAAAGAAAAATGTGCCAGTTTTGCATTCGAGTCTTTGCAACAACAGTTACATTATATGTTATTTCGTATAAATTACTGGAATAATGTAATGTAATATGTAAATAATGTAATAATAAGTTGAAAATTATTCCAAATAGTAGTTCTGGAGTTTCTTGTATGTTAATAATTGTATACTTAAATATTGTTTTTAATAGATTAATCACGGACTGTTGCTATAAATAAAATAAAATATGAAAAAATTTCTAAATTTACAATTAATATAAGAAATAATATAAGGGCGTTCTATTAAAAAAATATGTTTGCTTCAGAGCTAAAAAACAGTTAGAACAAGTAAAAAACGAGAGTCACCGGATGCTACCGAAAAAATCCTGCAAGAACGTTTTAAACTCTTCAATAACTTAAAAGACAATGGAGATACGAGGAGATGACCAAAATCAAAAGTTTTGGATTTCACCTTTTTTCTCAAAACCCAAAGAAGCACAGTGTCGCGTAAACCGCAACTTTCTATCTTTAAAAATAACCGTGATGCCCCATAAAAGGGCCCAAAATGGGATACCCCGTGCATATCTGATAATAATAAATCTTAGTTGCCATCTCGTTTCATTAGATATTGTTTATATTGGAAACTTAAATACTCAACATTTCGAATGTACCAAACTGATGCTTGAACACGGAAAGCACGTGCTTTGCGAGAAACCGTTCACAATGAACGAAAAGCAGACCAGCAGATTGGTAACCATAGCGAGAGAGAAGAAACTTTTTCTAATGGAAGCGGTTTGGTCCAGGTGCTTCCCAGCGTATCTCGAAGCCAGAAAAATCATAGACTCTGGGGCCATTGGAGACGTGTTGTTCGCATCAGTTCATTTCGGGCACGCCTTACAACATGTCGACAGACTGAGGTAACACAATACCAAGCAAGGGATATTGGGATAGTCCAAGCCGGTTTCAGATCGATGGATATGGGAGGCGGTGCCATTTTAGACTTGGGAATTTACATCCTGCAGTTTCAGCAATACGTCTTCAGGGGACTGAAGCCGATTAAAATAGCCGTCAACGGTCATAAAAACAGTTGGGGTACCGACGAATCGGCCGGAGCCGTAATTACTTATCCGGGTGGTAAGATGGCGGTGGTCAGTACTTCCGCGAGAGTGACTTTACCCAACGAGGGAATCATAGTCGGAACAAAAGGTGCGTATGAGCAGTGATTTCTTTCATATAAACGTTGTACATTTTAGGAACTTTGAAATTACCAACCTTCTGGTGTCCAACAAAACTTATCACTGCTGATAAAACTCTGGAGTGGTCATTGCCCGAATCTGCAGTACCATTTTTTCATACGAATAGCGCAGGTCTATCCTACCAAGCTGAGGAAGTCAGGCAATGTATCAAACGAGGTGGGCTACGTGGAACTTGATACCAAGATGGTGGTAATAAGTTTCAAGGACATATGTTACAGGAGAAATCGAGTGCAAACACATGACGCACGAGGAATCAATTGAGTTGGCGCGACTCATGGACACGATGAGAAAAGAAGTGGGAGTTATTTTTCCCGAGGATTCTCAGGAGTTTTAGAAAGTATACCGGTTACGATAGAAAAATATACGAACCAAGTCAGTGTGTCAGATTTTGCCAATATAGAGCAAGGCAAAATTATATTTTGAAGAAAAGCAATGCGAATGTATGAAAATATATTTGTTTATGACAAGTTTCACAAGTTTACCAGCTTCCATAAATTAACGCACTAAAATTTAAAAAAAATTCTTGATCCTTTTTACTTTACTTTTGCTTTACTCTACTTTAGCGATATTTTGGATTTTTAAAAGTGTATTTCTATCACATGAACTTTAAGTTTTGTCACCTGTTAACAACTTTTCGCACATTTTACCATTTTAAGGACCTTAACAATCTAAAATAGGAAATTGCAAACCATGGGGGCCATTCAACCGTTTGGATTTTATGGGGAGTCAAAGATGCAACAATGACATGTTTGAAACGTCATTTTACTTTTGACAACAGCAGGTGTTTAATATTTTGAAATCATAAAGTGCACATCGAGGTAATACTCCTTTTTCCATTTAACTTTTTTCCAAGATGGCCCTCTACCAGCATTTTGAAAATCAGATCTATCACTTTTATATCAAGTAGTAGGGTCTTTTATTATTTTTTCATTTGTTTATTTTTTATTATTTTATCGTTTTTTTGTGGATTTTAACCATCAACTCGATTTATTTCTGACTTGCTTTAACTAAATTTATCCAAGGTTTGGCGAAGGTTCTGGCCCTCGTGCCCCACTCTCCACTCTCCAATTGTATGTTAAAAACGCTACTTCTTAGAAACTATTTTTCTATCGATTACATTTTTTTTTAAGATTTTCGAAAGCTCTGACTTGAGGCTAAATGCATAGAATTATCCTAAAAATAACACTTTTCATAAATTAATCATTATTCGGTTATGAAAATATGGAATAGCTTTTTTTAGAATTTTTGAGCGGTCCATTTTACCCCTGCACACAAAAGGCTAAAAATTTACAAATAACCAGAATTCATAAGTTAATTTCAATGGTTATTTAAACATTTCAATAGTTATTCAATTTTAAACAATAATGAAATATTTCTAGTCAAATTTTCAACAACGCCGAATATGTTTTTAATCGATAAGCAATTCATTTAAAATTGATTCGAAACAAAAAACAGGCATTAAATCATTTGAATCGCATAAGTTTATTTATTTATTTCAAAATTGGTCGGTAGAGAAAACATGTCCATAAGCAGTTTTGGTTAGTTGACCTGCTGATTGATTACTAAAATTTGATTAAAAGTCAGCTCCCACGTATAAATTTGACAACAAAAGTAATTTAGGGCACTCCAGGATGACATTACCTGCTGACTGATTTAGAAATGTTTGCTGACGATAAGTTACTAATCAACTAACCATTTTGGCTGACCGCATACATTTTTTTTTTACAAAAGAAATACTTTGCTAACCGGTTAAATAATACCCTTTCTAATGACTACGTAATATAAACGGTATTTAATATCGCGCAGTAAACAGTTACTTACCCTCATCAAAACTCTCCATAACACCACAATATTTGAAAACCAAACACATTCATAAGAAACGTCAAAACGAATTAGCCGCTGCGTGACAGTTGTATGACGAGCACATGAGAGTCACGGCATGCCATGGTTTTTAAAATGTTTTATTTCGGCCAAAAACTTTCAGTTTCTGCGGATCAATTTATTCAATTATGTCTCCCTAGATTCCCTAAGTCTGTGCGACTGTGCAAAATATTGTGCATTGACTTTTATAAAATGGTAAAGTGCTTAGAGTTTTGGAACTATGTCACCAGTTTCAGTGGTGGAGTTTGGCGAATGAAATATATTCTGCGTTTAAAGTAAAAGTTAGCTTATTAAGTTTCTTTGCGTATTTGTGGTAGAAATGTAATCAACAAGTATATATCATGACCACCGAAAAATTAACATTGAAATATCACTGATTAAAACAAAAAACTTCGAAACTGGATTATTCCTCAACAAAACTAAATGAACAATTGGAAAAATGAAATTTTATTACAAAATACCGCAAAAAAATTAAATAGATCCAAAAAAACTTTTTCAAAATCTGTCGGTGCTTATTTCCATTCCTCTTCATTTTAAAATAAGGCGGTGACGAGATTTAATGATAATAATCTTTTTTCTCACGGATCCGAGTCACTTCGGACATTTCCGGGAATTTACCGCACGGGTTTGGGAGCAATCGGATGTTTTCGAAGGTATTTCCCACGCCTTGAATTTTGACATTTGTCAATTCTGAAGTTCATGTCAGTGAATGCGTGTTGTTTGGCGAAAATGTAACCAAAAAAGAGAAAAAGTATAGTACGCAACACGTTCGGTAAACTTTTTAAGTCACTCGTTTATTAAACACTCGCACCACTCGTATCAAATATTGCATAATATACTATTAATAATCACTAATAATCAAGTAAAAAACATCAGTCTCGTTTTGTTTCCTACATTTATGTCGCAAACCATGATGGTAAAATTATATCTTAAGTGCCTGAAATGAAAAGGGGTTGAAAAGCCTAAATATTCTTGAAAGAGTGTAGTATCAAGTTAACTGAACACTAAACTTTCAATATAAACATTTTGGTCGTAATCAGAAAAGTTTTTTGTCATATTTTACTTAGTGATGTTATAAAAATATTTATAATTGTTAATATTATATGCTTCTAGTTATATAGGATGCAATAAATTTTAATTTTTTGACGAAAATTTTGAAAAATATCTTGTAGAGTTCTTTCTGATGTTGGGTTTACCTTGAGCCGTCTGCGTTGCTATTTAAATATGACCATTTCATCAAAACAATATCAGATATCGTCCGAAGTTTATGAAATTTGGCAAAACCAAAATATAAAATTTCCCAGAGAGTGTTTGAACCTCAATATTTGATTATTTACAATCAGATGGCTATGGTAAATTAAATAAATTAATCACAAGTCTTTTGAATTCCTCAAAATAAATTAGAACTAAAAGTTCAGATTTTCACATGATAATTGTATCGACAACAAATCTTTCTTTATCAGATATTGTCATGTGAAAATATATAATCTCGTGAAGATCTGAACTTTTAGTTCTTATTTATTTTGTTAAATGGACTTTCACAAAGTAAAAGCCACCTCAGTTCAATTTTTGAATTCCTCCTGAATCCATTTAGAGCTTGACAGCTTGTTGGTTAATTGTGGTTAGTTGTTGTAGTGGTACTTTGTCTAAGAAGTCATACCTGTAAAAAAAGTAAATAACTTTCGACATTTCAATGTACATGTAAATTCTACAAGACACGTGAGTCTTTCAGAGATATTACAAAATTAGGAATTTTATCAGGTCACCAGTGACATTGTTGACACGCGACAGTTCCATTAGATGAAGATATTGCTTTATCAGGAAAAATAATAACTCTAATTCTCCTTGAATGGGACAGCAAAAAAAAAGCTTTTATTTTTAATGAGTGAACTTCTTTTTGTTAGAACAAATTACAAATTTTCCGTTCCACGGTCCTGACTCATCATTTTTTGCGACAAAAAAATTTAGAATTTATAGGTAAATTTTAGGACATTTAGCTGAAATGTTATAGGTTCTAACCTTATATATATATATATATATATATATATATATATATATATATATATATATATATATATATATATATATATATATATATATATATATATATATATATGATGACACTATATTCCGGGATATCATCCGTTCGCTCGTTGAACTCCGACTGGAATCCTGCAAATCTTGCATCCGACTGGAATCCTGCAGGATTCCAGTCGGATGCAAGATTTGCAGGATTCCAGTCGGAGTTCAACGAGCGAACGGATGATATCCCGGAATATAGTGTCATCACATTTTTCCATCCGTGAATCAATACGTGAGAATATATATATATATATATATATATATATATATATATATATATATATATATATATATATATATATATATATATATATATATATATATATATTCGATTGTATTGTATGGAACTGAATACTGGACACTCAAGGCCCACTCGAAACTTTTGAAATGTGGGTAATGCGGAGACTCAGGATATCGTAGAAGAAACATGGTTCCAACGAGACGGTACTAAGAAGAATGAATGCAGACAAAGACGAAAGACAAGTACAAACAATACAAGACAAAAAATCCAGTTAAAACAGAACAATCCATGTATTTATTCAGTTTTAATACTCTTGCAGCATATTTTTACTTACATTTTTTGAGCAATGACATTTTTGGATTGTGTAGATCAGTCATCACCAATTGTCGGAGTTTTACATAAAAACATGTTCTTATTACTCCCAGTATTCTTTATTTTCGTAACAGTTGAATGGGTAACATTTTATATATTATTAATTATATATTTATAAAAATGTTAATTAAAAAGAATTGCCGCTTCTCTATGGGTTTTATAATTAATTCCCACAATCAAGAAGATTTATATTTTCTCTTCACTACTTACCATATGTGTGAATAAAGTTCCAACCCTTTTTGACTAATCAAAGGAAAATTTAATAAATTTCCTCAATGTAAATGTATGTTTTTTTTAGTTTTTTTTTATAGTATCAAACTAAAGGCACAAGTTACCTAATATCTCCTGATTGTCTAATACTGAATATCATTATATCGCAACTAAGTGGACAACTGCTGGTAAAATTATAGACCCCTCCAAATTATTACTTCGCACCAGTGCTAGGAATAAAATTGGGTACTGTCAACATTTTAACATTCCCAGCATGACATTTTCAAGAGGTAAAACTAATTATTTTTTTATTATATATCATGGGAAATTCAGTAGATTTCAGCCTCTTAATTCATATGTAAATCATTTAGCCGAACATTTTTTTGTTCTTTTAAAGAACATTATAAATTTAGTTATGATCTCGTATATATAGTGTTGGTTCCCTAATCTAGCAAATGCAATATTTCATTTAAATATGGTTTTCGAAAATGCAGGTTGCTTCGACTTTAAAGGTATGATTTTGCAAGTCACTCCCAGTTTGAAAGAACACCACCACCGCATCCTTAGTTTCAGTAAAACAAATGATACAGAAACCAAAATATACATTAGTTTCATTCCCAGTTATGGTGCCACTGTAATAACGCGACCTCAATATTAATTACAAATTACAACTCCAAGAGTTGAGAGGCTTTCCCAACGCCATTATTACTAACCAATTAACCAAAAGGGTCAAGGAAATGAACATACAGATTAAACAGAATCCAACCAATAATCTTAAGGGAAAGAGAAATCAGAAAATGGTTAAACTAATTCCAAGTTCTTCTAATGAAGGTCTTGACGCCGATACTGAAATGCAATTAATAGGTAGTGATGACGATATAGATAAAGATGAGGAATACATTGACACTATATTGCAGCAATCTCTTTTCAGAGGACACGAGAGGGGAATGTTTCCGTTAGTGTCACGAAGAATGCGTTGATACTTTTATACTTTCGTGTTGCTAATATCGAATGTGTGCGAGATTATGAATACCTAGTATCTGATATTGGGAACCCGTTTTAAATTTATGACTTTTCGTGTAGAGTGTTTTTTTTTTTGAAGAATATTGAAAAACGGGACGAGGTATAGCGACTTGCTTTCAAATTAGAAAATAAAACATTAAATACAAACGTTTAAAAACATGTTTCCTATAAGTTTGAAGAATTGGGATGGCTGTACATGGATCAGCGACGTGCTTTGCATTCGGGGTGTCTGTTACAAAATATTTAAGTCAAAATGTTCTTGAAATCTTCATGAAAAACTAACATATGGTGCGGATGTTAACAACATTAATATTCCTAATCATTTGTTAACTATACCTGTTCATAAAAAAGAGTTTTTCAAAAAAGTACTTCTCCTATCAGATCGCGTTTATAATTAATAAATATAAAATAAATCATTTTACCCAAGCTATTGACCCATTCAAAAGACACATGAATTGCAAATTTTTGAGACGTTTATAATTTGGACGGAATTTTAACAATGGTTCACTAATTAATGAAGCATTATGCTTAAATAAAGAAATATCTTTTTTTCTCGTTTCCTGTAGCTCTGTATTCTTTTTTTTCTTATTTCTTTTCTTTTTATTTGTATGCTCTCATTCCTCTATGCCGTTCTCTACATAAGGTAAACTTAAATTATTGCATTTAAGGAGTATATAAAATGTTGTAATATGTATTATTTTTTTGTTATAAGTTTAGTTAACTTAAACAGCACCTTCCTTGGGAAGGAAGCTGCGTCAAGGTCCGTTATTCTTTTTTATAGCTTTATATAACTTGGCATGTACATACTATAATTTGGAATAATAAACGTCATTACTATTTTTATTATTATTATTATTTATATCATTATGTCCCAGCTCTACGTGAAAATGAAATAATTTCTTCTTCCTCTGCGTTACTATTGAGTAAATTTATTTTTTTTACAATCCCCGTATAATACTGAAAAATTAATAATAATAAAGTTTCCTGAATGGTCCAAAGTTAATGTTTATTAACATTTTCCTTTTTTTTATTTAAACTTTGGTGGGTTTGCCGCTATGGGTTAAATTTTGAATAATGATATGGTTCCAAGATACTTAATCGCGCTTGGTTGCTGCGTAGTTGAATTTTTGAGTGCGCAATATTTTTCATAAATTATTTATTAATTCGTTTACATCTTAAGTACTTAATAGTAGTATTGTGTAAGCATTGCAACGCGATCTGCATAAAATTAAACGTCCCCCCCCCCCCGCACAAACGTCTTTTGTTGAAGAATCTTGAATCAAGCGCCTATAACGTCTCCTGTCATCGTTTTAATTCTCCTTTATCCCTACGTATATTTGCGAAAACGCCACCTCCAAGGTCTTCTTCCACGCTGCCACCTCATCCGGTTTCATTATACTCGAAAACAGTTCGATCGTCACCGCTTTTAAATCCTGAAACAATGTTTATTAAAAATATAAACACCGATGTCGAAATTCCTCACAGAAACATATCTACGCTCTTTGACCTAAATCGCTAATCCTCGATCTATTGCTTTCACGTTTTTATGCACAGTTATAAAAATATGCTTACAAAATAACAGGAATATAACTTGCCAGACAGTAGATTCTATTTTGTAACAAAAACATGCAATTTTGGATAATAACGCAGGTGCATAGTGCTATTTTAATAAGTGTTCGATATTTCAAAGCGTGATATTTTGAAATAAAAAACTATAAATGCGATGACAATTGGGCGAGTTTTTCTTTCTATCGACTTTTTACAAAGTATAGGATAAAATCAATTGCAAAATCTTAGTAAGTATCTACACGGAGATATAAAAACACAAACAATTTAATATTGACAAGTATACAAATAGAAACAAATAAATATGTAAAAATTAAACTAATCTGTTAAGGTTTTCTAAGTTTTAATTTTATTTATGTTTTTCTGCATAATTATTAAATTCCCTTAATTTAGCTCTAACTTGTAGGGGCATCAACGGTAAGACCGTCCTTTTTCTTCGCTTGTCATGTAAAAAATAGAAACATAATACAATTTTGATGAAATTTATAATGAAATTTATCATTAAAAAAATATAGTTATACTGTTTGTGTTGTTTAAATGACAACCCAGAAAAAACGCTTTCTAGAGAAACCTACTTGATTTTCTAATAAAAAGAAGTTTTCCAAATAAAAATGATTGAGAAACTCAAAAGTTTTAAATTTTTTCAATTTTCGTTTAGAAATAAAAAATTTACTTTCGACATCCTGTATCTAAAAAACGAAGCATTTTAGACCCCAGGTTTATGGTAACTTTTTACTTTAAAAATACTTGAGAAATCCCTCTGTAAATGTAAATATTATTAAATAACAGTCTGTATTTATTTATTGTTTTGCATTAAGTAAAAAAATCAATACCTACCACAAAAAGGTCGTTTTGAAAAACTACATCATTTTTTTTAAAGCTGACGAATACCAATAAAAAAATAATCTATATTGGTATTGGTTTTTGTAATTTGTTCCTTCTAATGGGGCCATTGATTATAATAACCTAAAAAACTATTCGATTTTAAGCTCAAAATTTTTGAAAATCTCAAACAAAAAGTTAAAAAACAACAACACAAAAAACAACATAGATTACGCTAACACAAAAAAAATATTTTTTTGACTTCTATTTTTTTTTAAACCAGAAAGAGTTAAATACTCCGTTTTTTTTTAATTTTGAGGAATGCCCACCCCAAATAATTTAATCTGTTTTGTATATTGTTTTTTCTCTAATGGGGCCATAGATTACCCTAACATAAATAAAGGTTATTAAAAAATACGCCATTTTATTTAATTATTGGGGAATACCCATAAAAATAATTTAATCTATTTTGTGTATTACATTTTTTCTAATGGGACCGTAGATTATCCTAACAACAAAATTTATTCAATTTTGACTTCCAAATTTTTGTTAAGAAGGGGAATTTCATTTTCTTCTTCTACATATTTGCTTCCAAATTCAGCTCATCAAATTTGAATTATTCCAATTTATTCTTTAATAGCTATGAAAGTTCGAAATTATTTTGGTAACAACGCGCATGCAGGCTGTTATATATTTTGTAAACGAATTCTGCAGCAAAAGATTTGCAAATGATAAATCAATCATCACTTTCTTTTCATTTGATTTTTCAATTTAATCTTAATTTACTATTTTAAGTACTAAAAAGCAAATATAATAAATTAATCGAAATTTATTTTTAACTAAAATCATGAACATTAGGGTGCTTCAAAAAAATTTTTTAATTTTTTTTTTAGCTCTTACCCTCTCAAATGTTTCTTTCTGATATGGAAAAAATCCTCAACAAAGATGAGCCCTGTGGCTCAACTCTAAGGGGTCGCTATTTTTATTTTAGTTTCAGATTTAACTAACATGGGAAAATTCTTTGTTCACCAAAATAAAATTTACTTATAATGTTCGCTATTTTTTACAAAAAAACAATTTATATCGTTATAATTGAGTCTTTAACCTTTCCAAAACCGTATAACAAAGTATAATAATCATTAAAAGAAGATTAATTACAGCCATTTAAAAATTACTACATTTTGAACTTTTCAGAAATAGCTTATAATAATTTTTTATTTACATAATTTCTCAAAATTTTTGTCCTAACTAATAGTCAGTGTTTTATTTCTATGGATTTCAAATTTTATAATGGTTGTCAGTACGTAGTGTAGGTAGCAGCACTTATAATATTAGATCATACGGCGCAGTTGTCAAATTATCAGTGTCTGCAACACATATATTAAGAAATTATTGTGGATTGTCATTCTTTAAAGCTCTCAGTAGTTTCAATGATTATCAGTAAAGTAACTGACAATAAAATTTAGTTTGTTGGTTTTGCATGTAGAAAATTAAGTAAAGGAAAGTTACCGAGTATAAGAAAAGTTTTACAATTATTTTTCTACTAGCACACAGATTCTTACCTCACAATTCGACAGTGTTTTGATGCAGTGATTCGTGATGTTATGAAAGTTTGGAAACCTACTGGTATTCCGGTCTATCAAGCATATAACGTTATTACTAAAATGATGAAAGTGAGATCTTTTGAAAAAAATTAAAAAGAGAAAACTCAAACAAAAAATTAAAGTGCATACATTTAACAACCGCCTTGAGAATTTGTTTGATATATCTAATCATATCTCAGCACATTCTTTAAGAGAAGCTCAGTCTAAATATTTAAGTAAAGAATGGAAAACGTGAAATCGACATAGTATGTTTTTAACTTGTGCAAACTTAGAAGTTTCGACGGAGACTCTAATGAATTGTAAGGTTAGAATCTCAAAAATAATAACAATAATTGTAAAACTTTTCTTATACTCCGTAATTTTCGTTTACTTAATTTTCTACATGAAAAACCAACTAAATAAATTTTCTTTTCAGCCATTTTACTGGTAGCAATTGAAATTACTAACATCTTTAAATACACAATAATTTCTTAATATATGTGTTGCAGACACTGATAATTTGACAACTGCACCGTATGATCTAATATAATTAGTGCTGCCACCTACACTACGTACTGACAACCATTTTAAAATTTCAAATCCATAGAAATAAAACACTGACTATTAATTAGGATAAAAAATTTGAGAAATTATGTAGATAAAAAATTATTAGAAGCTATTTCTGAAAAGATCAAGACCAAAACTAATCAAAATGTAATTTTTAAATGGCTGTAATTAATCTTATTTTAATGATAAAAGCTCAACATTAACAATATAAATTGGTTTTTTGTAAAAAGTCGCGAACAATATACGTAAATTTAATTTTAATGAAAAAATAATTTTTCCCACGTTAATTAAATCTGTAACTAAAATAAAAATAGCGACCCCTTAGAGTAGAGCTACAGGGCTCATCTTTATTGAGGTTTTTTTTTATATCAAAAAGAAACACTTGAAGGGGTAAGAACTAAAAAAAAATAAAATTTCTTTTTGAAGCACCCTATTGAACTTAATATTCAAAGGAGTTAAAGATATCGAAATTTGAAAGTTGTGGGTGCTATTTACAAAATCTCACCAATTTAGAAACTTCCTGCATACTTTATCTAAAACATAATGCTTCTTAGTATATTACGCATCAAGTTTGAGAAACGACCATTTAGTCACGAGTTGATTCTAGCACCAGCCAGGCGAGTGTTTAATGAGCAGGGTCAGTGCATAATTAGGCAATGAATGTTTGTATTTCAACGATCTTTTTGTAATCAGTCTCAAAAGTCAAAGCCTTACACAATTCAGACCTACCTCAAATCCTTGTTGAGTCACACTCCTAAGTTTGTGGCTCGATCCTGTTTTGTGTAGCAACTGTATCAAAAGATCGTTGTCGTTGATCGCATCTATAATAGCGGATAATCCGTAAACTACGCTGGTACAATGAGCTCTGAATTTTTTGGATGTTTTTAACTCGTCGTAAGGCGTATCTTTGAACGGGAAAAGTTCAACATACTGCGGAAACTTCTTGAAAAACCTTAAACAAAAAACTGCGATTTTGGGATAATAATGCCATGGGCAAGAATACTCACAATAGTAATAGAGCTACGCCGCTGTCCGTGGGAGTTTTCGCGAGTTTAGCCCATGAAGTCTTCACCAGATATTTATCTCGTGTTGTTAATCCGGTAACCGGATCTGGATCATCGGTACGACCAGTGTTTTGCGATATGAAACTAACCACGGTACCCATATTTTTTCGAAACCTAAAAAATTACTTATAGGCATGTGCCATTTTGTCACTAAAACAATTTACATTTTATGTATCTCACTGAATTTAAAAAATTATTTGTGAAAGCTTTTCTTAATCGAAATATCTTCTAGCAGCTGGAGTAAACTTTTAATACATTACTTCACAGTTCCATATATTTGAAAAGTTTATGTAATAACTATTTATGCATGCAAGACTACCAAATTACCGACAAATACTATCAGATGCAAAATGAAATGAGACTGAGAACCAGTTGAATTTGCTTTGATCTGTAGCGATACCAGGATTGAAAACCGCGAGATTTTGATATCACCAGGAAATGTAAACGCACCGGAATTTGCGTTATCACTAACTTCGAAATTACTCATATTTCCTTCATTGACGGCGTTATTCAGAAAAGCCAAAGAATTAAACTCGAAACGTGGCCATTCTGGTTTTATCTCTTCCTTTTTTTCTCCCTTGTGTTGTGTATAAAAGGAATTTCAGGTATCAATCAGTCGCGGTATCCACGTCCTAAAGGAATCCGTAAAAGCTTTTTCTTAATTAATAGGAATCACTTCTCCTGCCGTGGGCAAGCCAGGACGTTCATGTTGGAAGCTTGAAGAATTCAGGACTGACCCTTAACCTCAATATTTTCACAACGTTTCCAGTGATTTTCAAATAAAAACACAACATAAATACTTACCAATTATATTAAACTAAACAAAACTAAAATTGCAACTCGCGATATTGACGCTTTTCGAAAGAGAAGTTCCACTATCTGCTCACCACTACGGAGCCGAATCAAGTTTATAAAGTTCGACTAGAGAAACACGCCGCGACACTTGAAGAGATCAATTCAATTGAAACAGGACCGAGGAGCCGTATTATTGTTAGATATATAACAAAACTTCATATAAATTATGAGAGAAACAGGTCCGTACGAGGTATTTTGCACGCCATTTTTGCAAACGACTTTCAAAATTTATTAAAGTACAGAAAATTCAAACCAAACCAAAACTAACCAAATATTCTTCTAATACTAAAGAAAATTTAAAATCTTAAAAAACAACATGTTTTGTGTCATAAGTAATCCAAAAAATTCAATAATTTAAATTAAACATTAACATACAAAAGCTTTGAGATGATTTTAAGTAACAGCAAAACTGCATTTAGAGGCATGAATATTTAAAACAGTAAATTGAACCTAATTAAATCCAAGTTTTCAGAATCTTCAGGTCTTCCAATTCCCCTGGTCGTAGATTACTATTTTATTCCTACTAAGCACGTTGGTTTTGGTTTATTTCTTCTATCCCTTGACATCCACATCATTATTTGCTTGGAAATCCGTCTTCGGTCATTTTTTCCATTTTAGTTGTCGCCCCTTTATTTCCTCTATTACTGTTTTTTGTACTTTCATTATTTCCCAATCGTGTTCGTTTCTCACTTGGAGCCTTGACTTGTTCCAGGAATTTATTGATCTGTCATGTTTCACATCAATATTTGGTTATGCTGAAGAAAAAAGTGTATTCTAAAATGTGTCTCTGTTCGCCAGACATATTTTTGGACCAAGAATTGGAATTCAAATAGCCAATCACGGTCCCTTCATGAACTGTTTTACTGTTCGTCCTTTCCTAGATAGCTCCTAAATAGGTATAGTCTCTACAGGAATCTATATTCTCTTGTTGATCAGATCCAAATTGAACATATTGATTTTTTGCTTTATTTACTGATTAGCCCTGCACTTCCAGATCCTCCTTATCATGCGCAATTACCGCCTGATCATCTGCGAATTGAGGAGTATATAGAATTGTATCTTCGTTCAATTGTAGGCCCCACTGCATGAGTTTCTCCATTTCTTCAGCAAATCGTTCAAGTATATTTTGAAAAGTGTGATGGAAAAGCAACATCTCTGTTTCAAGCTTTGAAAGTATCCGTGTTCATATAGTTCATATAACTCTTATTGCAGTATTATTTATGACAGAGTTTATTTATCAGCACAGCATCCGTAGCTATTTGTCTGGAAATATACTTCAAATTCCTACTGATTTTCAATTTCTGGAGATGCACATTGTTCCTCTATTATATTTCATAATATTTTTCCATACAGACGGTTTATGGTATCAGCCATGGATATGAACTATAGTTACCACAATTGTCCCTTGATGCTTTCTTATATATTGGTGTTACCCAGCTTCCATTGAGCTATTTTTCCCCATGTATATATCTTGTGAACAATTCTTAAAGTTATGTGTGACTAAATTGTATGTATGGCTTTATTTATTTTCGACTCATTATGGACTTGATATCGTGGTATAGAACTTACATTATAATTCTATTGTAAAAAGTTTTCGTAATACGTAGTAGGCAAAATGTTTTCCTCTAGATTGACGCTGATTATTTTGACAATTATTCGCGTTCAATTAGTTATAACCTTTACCTAACCTCCGAATCTAAATATAGATTATTGCCGGTTTTAATATGTATTTTTCAGGAAATATTTTTGTATTAGATCGTACTTGAACAAGCTAATCGAGGCATTATTCTATATAGATTCTATCTACCTACCTACTTCTATCCACCTTACTACTGACTCATCCTTTCTTGAGTATTTGTGGGATTCTCCATTGATTGGATACAATTTCACCTAATTACCGGTATTCTTTAAAATTAGACCATGGTAAAATATGGTCGATTTTTCTTTAATGTCTAGCATATTATACCACTTGTCACCAACAGTTTGTGCTGAGCACATTTGCAATATTCTTATACATAAAACTTAATATATTAGTTACCCATATGGGGACAGCTAATGTTTACTCATCCTGTATATTAGTTTTTAGCCAATATGCCACTGTAATGGAAGACAGTAATATAATGATAATAATAGTGTTAACACACAGTGTAAAATTAATTTGTACTTGCTAAATGTCAAATTTTCTCAAAAAGACATTAGTAAGGATATCAAAAATCGTCCGAATCCAATGAACTCCGATATATTCACAGTGGCGAATGCAAAATTACTCAAATACGTCTCTGCACGACGCGATACTAAATGGATATAGGATGTTCTTCGTGTAATTAGCCACAATCAAATGAATGCACGCACACTTAATAACAACAACAATAGAAGATTTTTATTTTAGTCGAGTAATCGATAACAGACGGTCACATTCAGTCCATTAGGAGGTCAACTTGGCAATGTTTCTCACTACGATAAGAAGATATTCAGTTAGAATCGACACCTTTTCCTAACCTATTTTGAGTTTTCATTTAATCGAATTTATTACACGTCAAAAAGCTCTTTGAAAACGTATATACATATTTTATTTTATTTATTTATCACTGTTTTGAAAAAAACGTTCTAACATATCATTAACAAAGAAGAATAACATTTAAAAGTATTTTAAAATATACTGTATGTTTCATTACGGTTTTTAATCTCCTGCTTCTACAGTATTAAAAAGGTACCTCAATATCACACCTCAAATGCGTTGGTTTTGGTTAGTTTTGCATAATGCATGCGTGAAATCGAACAAATAACATTTAAAAATAGCGTGTTTTATAAAAATTTTCGATATGCTGCTTCTACAAATGTCAAATGCGTTAGTACAGCGCTTTTTAAATCTCGTTACTAATGGCAAATTTTTATTAATACATACATCACGACATTTTATATGATGTATGAGTTAAGAACGAATTTGATTATCTGTCCGAATACTTGAGTATCACCAAAGCATAAAAAAAAGTTTTTTCCATATTTGGTACAAGACAGACATGATTTTAAAAACTAATCAAAACTTTTACCCAGAGATATTGGAAAATTGCTGCCAAAATTTCAGATTTTAAAATATGCAACTCATCCAACAATAAGACCTTCAATTGGTTTCTGTTTAAGGCGAAAAATATGATCAGAAAGTTTCCGTACTTTTCAGAAAATTGCCCGCCTTTCTCGAAGCGTCTAATTTCGTAAATGCAGCATTGATTTAGTACATTGGAAAAAACACCCACATATAGACAGTGAATGGCTAAAATATGCAAAAAATTCATTGAAAGATCAGATATTGTATTTTTTGGAGTAAACAGAAAATATGCAGGGTGGGCCACAAGTAGATGTCGATAGCAAATTCCTTTTTCTAACTGACACATCATTTTCTGTGTCTGTGTCAAATTTCACCCATAATTTATGCAACAAGCGCTATATTTTTCTCTTACTTTTTATGAGCAAAATAATAAAAAACGAAAAGTTCTTAAATTGTCGTAATTACATTTCTGTCAGTAAAGGAAGTGAAAATGTAAGTGAAAAACAGGTAATTTAAAATATTCAGAACCAACCATTACAAGATCCATATTGAGTAAAATTGAGAGAAAATTTATAGAAACAGGGCATGAAAAAGATCGTCTACGTCTTGGTCGTCCAAAAAATATTGAGTACACAAGATTAGAAGTTGAGGACAATCACCATCGTGCATCTTGTGAACTAACTTTAGTCGTTCACTGTGTATATATAAAACATATACAAAAGATATACATATGAAGATATAAGAAGATAAGGTAAGTAAGTAATTTTAAAAATACAATGGAGTGGATATTTTTATTGAGGTTCCCCGAATTGCTATGTATCGTTTTCGGGTATTCCTTGAAGAGGGTTATAGATAAATTTGATATCACAAAAACATAATAATTTATTATAAAATACAAATTATTATTAAATAATGATAGATAACATGATAGATTTAAAACAATTTGATCGAATTTAATTAGTCAATTGACCAATTGACGGTTGAGTGATGTCAGGAACTTCCTCGTAGTTCAAATCCGACAAAACGTTGAGTAGGATCTTGGATCAGATTGTTTTCATCTGGGTCAATGTCGAAATTGTGTCTTACTAAATCTTCTCCTAATTTCCATGATATCTTGCGGGACCTTAGTAGTGACTGGAAAGTGAGGTCTTGGTGGATAGGGAGTTGTCTGTTGTCTTGACATTTTTCCCACTGTTATTATTATTTATTGTTATTATTGCAAAAGAATAAAGTGCAGAGGAGAACCTGTTATGCACATTGATAGTTATTAGCATAAGATTATTATACATATAATAAATATTTTGTTATTGCTGTGAAACAATACACTGTCCATGCGAAATTTAAATACAGTTAAGTTCAGCGCACACACAACATCCGGGGGTAAACTGTTCCAATAATCGAAAGTCCTGCTACTTACAAAATGCAGGTGATGCGAAGTCCTGCATTGTTCCTTTCTTATTTTAAATAGATGGCCACGTAGGCGTTCATCATTGGTTAAGACCACAAGGGGAACGTCATATGGAAATTGGTCATGCGCAAACCTATACATTTGAATAAGATCCCCTCGTTGCCGACGCTGACTTGAACGTTGACAGACTAAGTATTTTGAGACGGTCATCGTAAAGTGTATGTCTAAGTTGAAGTGACCAGCGCGTAGCGGCTCGTTGCACTCTTTCCAGAACATCATAGTTACGCAATAGCCATGGGTTCCAGACTGAGGAAGCAAATTCCAGGATGGGGCGAATGTAAGTGGTCAAAAGTCTGCAAGCGATGCGAGGACTAGGATTTTTTTAAATCGTTTTTGACAAAAATAACGCGCAGTTTGGTTTCTTTGCAATATTTGATACATGTACAGACCACGCAAGATCATTAGTTACTGTCACACCTAGGTCTATCTGAGAATCGACACTTGACACAAAGTTTCCATTAATATAATAGTTCACACCGGGATTGTTCTTGCCAACATGCAGCACAGAGCGCTTTTGAGCATTCAGCGGCAATAGACAATTTGAAAACCACTTGGAAATAGTATTCTCTGCAACACGTCCGCATGTGTTAAAAGATTTTCAAATAATTTATTGTCA